GTTTTACATCATAAAATTACTAAGATTAACTTCACTCATAAGAACTTTACAGATAAAAGTTATCAATTATGTACTAAATAACTAGCGAAAGGTTTTTTAACAAATAATATTGTTTATTTTAAAAATTCGTAGGTAGTTTAAAAAATATAATCCTTCAGTTACAGTTTTAACCTATCCCTATTATTTTAATCTTTGTGTAAGCCTTCAAAGATTTGTATTGCCAAGAACTACAATATAAATACAATTATATAGGGAATGCATAGCACAGAATTTTTTTACCCCTAAAAATATACCATAAGTTTTTTCATTTACATTCAGTGATAGTATCTCATTGTGGCTATTTTGTACTAAGACCAAACAGACTGTTTGCACAAAAGGTTTATTGTGGTTTTATGCATTTTAACTTCTGATTTTATGTCTAGCAGGATGTAATGCTGAATTCTGTGGTTAAAATATTTGGCAACATTTAGCATGAACCAGGCAAATTTAAATCAGTAAGCAAAAGACAAACTTAAACTTGTCAAAAAAACAAAACAAAACAAAACTTGAAACTATGCATATCTTTTTTTCATTTCTTTTACAAACATGAGTGGAAACTTTTTACGTAAGATTAGAAACAGAATAATCCAATCAAAACATTTGGTTAAGTTTAGACATTTGGGACTATTCCACTTGTCTTAAAGCAAACAAAACTTCCACTGTTTTCCCTGAAGGAGAAAATGGTCTACTATAAATGCACTTTAAAAAAACACATTATGTTGAAGCTTACCGGTTTGTTTCTACATTTATGACTTTAATGCCTAGCATTGTTCCATACAGCACAAAATGTCCAGTTTCATCAAAAACTATATTAATTAATCTTACTGCATCCAACTTCTCCAATTCGCGTTCTACAGCCATTCGTCGGCCAAATTCCATGTCTGGTAGCTGCTGTCTCATCTGCTGCAGTTCAGTAAACATCTATGAAACAAATCCTTTATTAGCTAAAAAAGCTATATAATAAAGGGAATAGGAATTAAAATAGAAGCAAACTACACATTAAAAGCCAGTTACCAAATAGTCTGTGTACTTATATATCTTCTTAGGGGGGATTCTAAACACTATGAGCACTAAAAAAATGCCACCAATACGTTTTTCATGAAAATAAAACAAAATAATACTTTACAATAACTGATTTTTCTAATTAAAAAAGAAAACACTTGGTTAATTACTGCTTTCTCTAAACAAATAATAAAACATCTTTCTGCCTTTTATAAGCTATTAATGTTGTTAAATGTTATCGAGTCGATACTGATTCATAGAGATCTTGTATAGGGTTTCCAAGGAGCAGCAAGTGGGTTTGAACAGCCAGTCCTGGGGTTAGCAGTCCAATGCTAGTTCTACACTGCCACATTGTTGTTGTTGTTGTTAATGCCATTGAGTCGGTTCCGACACATAGCGACCCTAAACAGGGTTTCCGAGGCTGTAAATCTTTATGGGAGCAGAAAGCCTCATCTTTCTCCCATGGAGCAGCTGGTATTTTGAACTGCTGACCTTGCAGTTTGCAGCCCAATTTGTAACCACTACACTACCAGAGCTCCTTCACATTAGGATTCCTTTAAAAGCATTAGACTAGTACTTTCCAGTGAATATATAAGTAGTTGTTAAGTGCCATTGAGCCAGTTTTGACTCATAGTGACCCTATATAGGGTTTCTGAGGAGCAGCTAGTGGGTTTGAACTACGGAACGTGTGGTTATAAGTACAGTACCACACCAGGAGTCCTTATAATGTAAGGGACAAATATAATTTTCTAGTAACTACATTAAATTTTTAAAAAAATAAAATTGTTTTGTTTTTTAACCAGTTTATCAAATACATTATTATCTCAACATTGTTGTTGTGTCAAGTCAGTTCCGACTTAAGTGTCCATGTGTAGTGTTTCTGAAGAGCAGCTGGTCGGTTTGAACTGCTGACCTTGCAGTTAGCAGTTCAATCCTTATCAGAGCATCACACCAGGTCCAATTTCAACAGTAAGCAATGCAAAAAAATTTTAGATGACTTTGATTCTTGTTTTCATATTAAGTCTTTGAGAGCACGTGTGCATTCTGTACTTCCAGAACATCTCAATTCAAACTAGCTACATTCCAAGTGCTCTACAGTCACATGTGGCCCGTAGCATTAACCCGCGGTGTCACACCAGGACCCCTATAACCAGGGAAACCCTACAGGTAAGTTCTACCTGTCTTATAGGGTTGCTATAAGGTGAAATTAACAGCACCCAACAACATTAATATACTAGCCTCCCAGAAGATGTAATGCTCTTTACATTAAGTTTCTAGACATTCAAGGCATTAAACAGCAGGTTTAAAAAGGTTCCCCATTACAGATGAAAATAACCTAGACTTATGGCCCATCTACTTCTATCTTTTCTTAGTTTGAAGTCTCCTCCAATTCTTTTAGATATGGTAAGAACAATATACAAAACTCCAAAAATTTAAAAAGGAAGCATGTGTATTAGGGTACAAGCAAGCAAGAAGTAAAAACACTGTAGAACAAGTAAAACATCCAGTCCTTAGGATCTCATCTCCTGTCTCAAAGAAACAGAAAGTATGGTATATATTACTTACCTATGGAACAGGGGTAACCCAAAACACTGGACTGCATTTTGTAGTAGGGGAATCACAATTATTTCTACTAGAGGAAGACTTAGTTCCTAAGAATTCAAGTTTATATGTAGTTACCGGCCCACATGTTGCTGTATTGTTAAGTACCATCAAGTCGGTTCTGACTCACAGGGACCCTGCATAGGAAGAGTGGCTGGTGGGTTTGAACTGTCAACCTCTGCAGCTCAAACTAGCCTTGTGGTCCAGCGCATTATCTTCCAGCACTACACCAGGACTCCCACATATGAGTATTTTATTATTAGCTCAAGTTGATAAACATATTTTCTATTAAGGTTTATTGTTGTTAAGTGCCGTGTATAGGGTTTCCAAGGAGCGGCTGGTGAGCTTAAACTGCTAACCTTGTAGTTCAAACTGACTTCGCAGTCCAGTGCATTAACCCATAGCACCATACCAGAACTCCGCTATTGAGGCTAGAAGACTTTAAAAAAATAAAAAATAAATCAGATGTGTTTATCAACGTGAGCTAATATTAATATTTGCATGTGGGAGTCCTAGTGTGGTGCTGTAGGATAAGAATTGGACTGCTAATCACAGGGTCAGTGGTTCAAACCAACCAGCTCCTCCTTGGAAACTCTATACCGGTTCAGGATGCATCCAAAGCAACTTGACAGCAATTAACAACCAAAGCCTTAAAAACAAGGGGGGCCAGTAGTTAAACACTTGGTTGCTAACTAAAAGGTGGGCAATTTGCACTCATCAGTTGTTCCACAAGAGGAATGTGGCAGTCTGCTTCTGTAAAATAACAGCCTTGGAAGCCCTCTGGGGCAGTTCCACTATGGCCTAGAGCTGCTGTCAGAAGTGACTCAGTGGCAACGGGTTTTATTCCTAATAGCGGGGCCTCTGGTATACAGAACTACCTGGCAATATGCAGTGGCACTAGTTAAATACTAAAGTTGTTGTTGTTGTTGTTGTTATGTACCATTGAGTCGGTGCCAACCCATAGCAACCCTGTAAAGGGTTTCCAAGGAGCAGCTGGTTAAATACTAAAAGATATTATTTCAGACCATTCAATCTTAAAGAAGGACCCTATCTAATTGGAAACTCTTTCCCCCCTTTAACAACAAATTATGAATTGCAGTCATTGACTAGTCATAAGGAGACCACACAGTATCCAGGCAGCGCTGAGTTACATTGTACATGGAGATGTCCTAAGAAGGGTGTGGATTTGGCAGCAGCTAGCAACAATAAAAAAACACTGCAGTATTATTTGTATCGTCCCTAATCACTAGCACTGTAGTACCTAATTTAGTTGGCATTTAACATTTTGGGCAAACTCTCATGCTTAATCACAACTTCTCTCATAAGCTTTACTACTGATCTCTTATTATATTGGTCCCATTATTTTAACGAATAGAACCAGAAAAAGCAGATTGAAAAACTCAGTGTACGACTCTTAAGAGATTTATGTTCAGAGATTAGAGTTTGAACATGTGTTTTCTTGAGCAACATTTCTTTTTCAGAGACATATCTGAAGGGCTACAAGTTGAAATAGAGTTTTAAATTAAGTTACCAGTAACATCAAGTTACCAGTTAATCAACAGATGGCAACAACACACAAAAAAGGATTCTCCTTTTCTTAAAAGCAGGTGGAAAGCTATCATCTTCCGATTAGAAATGAGTTATGAACATAATTTAGTTAGCAAATAGATCTTCACCTTTGTCTAAATTTATGTTACTTCAAGTAGACAATCCATCCAACTCATTACCACTTGACACCAAAAAATGAGTGTTACTAACAAGATAATTATTTTTGAAGAGTTTAGAGAACGGAATGTAAATTAGTCACTACCAAAGACTTTTAAATTTACTAGCAGTAAGTACTCTTGCTATATAAGTTTAACTTACAGACTTTCTAAGGATTCAACATACTGTTAGTGGTTACAGAACCTGACAGAAGCAGAGGTGATGAGATCCATATAACTACAAAAACTTGTAAACTTGGCATACGACTACATGCTCTAACAAACTCTTATAATACTCTAACAAGTGATGGTAGATTCACTCTTCATGTGATTAAAGTATTGTTCTTCTTCTTTTTTTTTTTTTTATGTTTTATTGTTAATTATGTGATAGTTTACATGGGAGAACATTAGCTTTACATTCATCCTATCATAGATCGTTACATTGTCATAGTTACAATCACCTCCATGGATCATCAACCAACCAAAGGGACTGCATGCAAGCCTGCTCTTGGTCGTCAGCACACAGCCCCAATCCCTCTCTGGGTCTAGAGTTCCCAGCCTTTCCATCTCTCCATGTCATCGTCACTGCCTCAATCTCTGGCATCACTGTTTCTCTGGGTAGGGTCCCGCACTCTGCTCTTCTTCCCTGATGATCCTAGGGCCCTCTGCTCCTGGACTATAAAGTCAATCACTCCCCTCTTTTTGCTACAAAATGTCTACCTTTACATTTCCAAACCTCACAGTCAGTCCTGATAGTAATTATTCACTATTTTGCCACATGAGTGCCATCCTCATCTCCTTTCATCAGTCCTGCCCAGACAGATTGGATACTACTCAGTGGAGATTCTACCTTTCTCTACACCCTCTGGATCTAGGCTCCCTCTTGAAAGCTTGTAAGCCAGTAACTTCTTGTCTTTGTAGGCCCCACCCCCCAATTTTGAGTAGCCAATGTCCAAGTTTCCCATCTAAGGTATTGTTCTTAATACTGCAAATAAAATTATGAACCAAAACAGATACAAGCTCAGATCAGAGAGAGTTATTCTACTGGGGAGGATACAAGTTAACCAAATACCACCATACTAAATGTTCTAAAACAAAATACAACAATACAAACCGAAATTTAAAGAAATGAAAAAAAAACAAAACAAAAACAAAAAACAATTCTAGATAGTATGAACAGGGAAAGCTTCCCAGAAAAAGTTGCACTTCAAGAGATTAGAAGGATGAGTAGTTATTAAAAGCATAATCAAGAAATTGAAAAGTTGGCCTAACTTGGTAGAGTAAGTGGCAGGGAGAAAGGTGATTTATATAGGCTGCAGTGATAGGCAAAGGCCACAACATGGAAGGTGTAATAGGCCACAACTGTGGTCGTGATCCTTAAGCCAACAGAAAGTCACAGAAAGGATCTAAGAAAAGGAATAACATGATCAGATATGTGATCTTAAAAGATTACTGTTGTTGAGAAACGGATAGGTTAGGAGGAAAGCAGAATGTAGTCAGTAGGCCATGCAATAGATCATGAACTAAGATAGTGACAGCTGTGCTAAAAGGAAATGGGTGGACTGAAGGTATATGAAAAAAGTAAGACAGACAGAACTTATGGATTAACTACAGAGGCAGGAAAACAGTGTTAAGGATGCTACCTAGATTTCTGGCTTGTGCAACTAAAAGGACATGGGAGCTTCTAAAAAAAAAAGAATACACATACATATGTTGTTGTTAAGTGCCACCAAGTCGGTTCCAACTCATAGCAACCCTATGTAGGGTTTCCGAGAAGTGGCTAGTGGGCTTGAACCTCCAACCTTATTTAGCAGGCCAAAGCTTATTCTACAGCACAACACCAGGACTCTAGTCATACAGGTAGGAATGAATAAAGAATGAGAAGAGAGAGTCAAGACAATATTTGAGTTTTGAGAATTTCAAGATAGACTTGCAAGCAACACAAAGCTGAAAAGGATAGCCACACAAGTCCTAGGATGACTGACAGAGAAGGTATCACATCATAAACCAAGGGAAACAAGTTTCAAAGACTAACAATGGAATACAGAAGATAGCTGAATAACAACTTTGATATGATAAGGGAAAATAATTACCAATATAAACTAGATCCACCAAAAGTGTTTCTTAAAAAACTGCATAAAAGTAATTTTCAGAAAAGTAAATTCAAATTAAATTTATATTATACTTACACTTAGTGATTCATCAAAGACTCTCATGAGTTTTCCAGTTAAAAATCTGAAAATTCTAACTTTTCTATCAGAACCAATAGTGGCTATT